CCGGTTACCAAGTTCAAAACCACGAACAGCTTTCACTTCTCCTTTCTTGTATTGTATAGGGAATCAGCTCATAGTCAAATTCCATTAATTATACTCACCAAAGAGCTTTTCCTTTCCCTTCCTGTTGAATTTCTCTTGTTCTTACTAAATTTTTTTTTTTGTAGTTTTTTTGGCCAGAGCTGGGTTTGAACCCACCACCACCTCTGGCATGTGGAGCTGGTGCTCTACTCCTTTGAGCCACAGGTGCCGCCCCACTAAGTTTATTCTAATACTCTCTTATCTCACCTGTTGGGAATGGTCTCATTGGCGGTAGAATGACAGTAACAGATTCTTTCTATAACAAGTTTCGAGGTGTCAATCCCTGAGCTCATTAATCACTAATATATTACCAGAGTCTGCAAAATGAGGTCCAGACCTAATGAGCCTGATGTTCAACCCCTTCCCCTGTAGCAATCTGACCCAACCTTCTTTCCTCAATTTGTTTTCGTTGCAGTAAAGTTAAAATCATGTATTGCGTCCTTGCCTGGAAAGTTAGCTTCATTCTGATTTGTGGCAATAGGTTTTACCCCTAAAACCAACCAGCTTTCTCCAAGGTCACTTCTGAGAATTATCAGGGAAGGGAGTATGAAAAAATAAATTTAAATTTGTTGTTGTAATGGGAAAAATTAGTATATCTCCTCCTAAGGCTACTTGAAAAGTAGGTTTTAGTGTAATGAAGCCCAGCACATTCGACCACAAACTACCTTGCTTATTATTTTATTATTATTACTGTTATTATTGAGCACACTTGTAGCTCCCTTTGTGACTTCTGTGGATCACCACGAACACCAAGCCTCCTCTTTGTGGGCTGAAGCAAAGCAGTCAGTCCCCGTTACATACCAGGGGCTGCGGGGTCTGTCTTTGCCTTTTCCTCAGAGCCTTATTGATTGACAGTTGCTCACAGTACCTCTGCATTCTTTGATTTTCAATTCGTAGTATTCTAAACAGTTTTGATCTTTTTTGCATTATTATTAATAAACATTTAAAAAAGTATCGTTGCAAAATAAACAGAGGCTCGGCTTTGGGGGTCAAATGAAAAGATACAGTTTCAGTTGTTTTATATAAAGTTTTGTGGCTTTTTGTAAAAAGCTTTGAATATTTGAAGATGCGAGTGAGACAGACTGAACAGCAGAGGGAGGCTGTAAGGACAGGTTTGCACTTTTGTATGTAGCACCAAGATTATGCTAAGAGTGGGGGCAAGCAGCTAAGTGACAGGCCGTCGTTGAAACAAATATTTGATCGGAGTGAGAGAAGTGATATCGGTTAGGAGCAGGTGAGAGAGCCATTTCAAGGTGAGATGGGTTTTGAAAATCAGTGGGAAGCCAGAGAAAAACCTTGAATCAGGAGTAGATAAACATTAGGGAGGAAAACAACTTTTGTCCCAAGACACTTCGGACTGATTGCAGGGGAGAAAGGTGGAGACCAGGGTGGGGAATCAGGAGGAAATTGCAGTGTAGTCGAAGATGAAAAATTGTCAACATCAGCGTGAGAGGTTTTCAATAGCAAGAGGGTTCTAGGACTGAAAGGTGCCATCCAAATCAGCTCACCTCAGGAGAGCTAAGGTGACAGGCTCATGTTTCCATTTCCTTTCAATACAGTGTGAAGTCCAGCTCTCTGATAGCAAGTTACCAACGGTAAGGGCTTTGAAAATTATTTGCATGTATTGGAATCTGCTGGAAATGCTTCCATCTTTGGATACCAAGATACCTTAAAAAATCTACCCCTAGTGCATTTTCTTTTGTCCTAGTGCATTTTTCTAAAAAAAAAAAAAAAAGCAAAGATGATAATAGGAATGAAGATTCTGTGAAGCTTCCATTTTTCAGTTCTCTCTCTGCCTTCCTAGCAAACATGTTGGATCTGGTCAGGTCCAACATGGGAGGGATGGGGTGGAAAAACTATTGTCCTAACTTGTAACTGTGAAGTAATTTCATTTTCTTGAGGTTCCGAAAGGCGAAAACTGAGATTCATAGATGTCCCGTCACTTACCTCAAGCTCTGTGGCCACTCCCAGTGGATCATGATCACAACTTCTGTCTCCCCTCTGCCTTTTCCTTTATTTCAAAATGTCCAAATAATTCTACTCTTAACATTTCCACCAACAACTTACAGCATCTTTCCTTGGTTCTTATTGCTAGGAGTTGTGGACAATGAACATACTCCTCCCCCCTCCCCCTTTTTTTTTTTTAGTATTTTGGCACCTTGCTAATATATTTACACTTCACTATCACTATTTTCTGCCTTGGGGATTGGAAATTCGCGTTGAGCCTTTTAACACCGTGGCCTTACACTTCCTTTGCTTCTCACTGTCAGTTATTTGCCAAGCCCTGTTGTAAATCATGAACACTTTCACTATTGTAGTTCAGAATTAAAATTTCCTTCCGCAGCGTGACTCCGGGAGTCTATTACCAGTCTACTGGTCTTTAATAGTTTTCTCTCTCTAGTCCAACTTGTACAGCTCTCCCTCATGAATTTGCTAAACATCAGCCCTGGCATTTTACTTTCTATCGAGCAACCCTCGGGGCCTTTTATCTAATAAATAAAACTCCTTAGCTTGGCATTTAAAGCCCTCCAAGATTTGTCTCCAAACTACCCTTCAAGCACAATTTCCTTTTTACTACCCTTCATACCCTTCTGTCCAGGCCAACCAAATTTGTATCTGATTTCTATGCCAGCCCCATCGGCTGGGGATTTCCCCTCTGCCCTTCATCATTATTCTCTGTTCTGTGTCCAATCAGTCTCCAGGTGACACTGCTTCTCCCTTCTGGCATCTCTTGTTCTTGCTTCTTCCTTTCTAAGGCTTCTCCACTGACTTGGGCCTCGGGACTTTCTCCACCGCCTACTGAAGGAGCTGGTGGGTTGGTCAGTTCTCCCTCTCTCTGCACCACCACCATGATTGTTTCTGCCTGGGGAAATCTTAAGTTACTATTTCTCTGCTTGGACCCTTTTGCCTATACTCTGTTTGCTACTGCAAGTTCTTGGCTGGGTAACCAGGTCATAGCTGGGCATTTTTATGTCTTTCACAGCAATGAAAACCTCTTGTTGTAACTCTTCCTTACACTGTGTGCGGGGTCTGTTGGCACACGTTAAGCTGGAGTACACCTGTTGCTCTTCTACTCTGTCCTGGAAGGTTTGCCCCCCCTCTCCCAGTCTACTTTCAGGTCTTCCTTTAACCTGCTGCTCAGACATGCCCTCTGGAAGCATCTCCCTGAGCAACCCAAATAGAGTTAATCCATCTGTCCACTTCCTGTGTGGGTTTGGCAGTGTCACTCACTGCCATGGAAGCCCATGGTAGCCCCTGTCATGCTGGGTTGCCGTTGATAGACACCCCTGTGTCTTTCATCTTACATCTGTGTGTATTAGGCCACATCTTTTTCATGTTTATGCCTATAGCTTCTAACATCATGGGGTATAACAAATATTTATTTATAATTTGGTTGAGTTAAAATAAACCTTGACTTATCCAGGATCAACAGATGCTTGAAGTCCCATCCCAGTGGTCTTATCTTCCCAGAATAGTCTTTCCTTTTGTCCTCACCCATCACTGCCAACTGGGAAGGACCCCACCTTCCTCAGACATCTGTAACACATTGCCAGTCCCACTTTTATGACACATACCCATTGAATTCTGATGATTGGGAGGATTTTTTCATATCTTTCCTTCTAAATTGTCAACTCTGTTAGGGAAAAATTTAGTTACTCATCTTTTATCTCTTATAATATTTAATACAGGGGTTATGCAAATATTAGAAGCAAATATAGGTAAAAATAAAGAATGGTTATGACTGTGAGGGACGTTGGACTAATTCCTTTTATAACGTTGAGGAAACTTGGGAATAATTCATTTTAATTTTTTCACCTTGCATATCAGGAAATCAAGTTTAAGAGATTATATTTCAAGGTCTCAGCACTGAGAAAGGAAAAATTAGGAAAAGAAACAAAGTTTTTTGATTCTGAAGCCATGTTTTTAATATTTTCAATTATGCTACTGTGCCTCAAGTATATAAGGTATCATGTAAATCTTTTAGGGATTCTTTACATGGTAAATTATTTAATTTTTCTATGATCATTATGTAAGTTTGGCAAAGGAGTTTGTTAGATAAATATCAAAACAATGAATTTTCCATGGAGATAAATTATTATTATTATTATTTATTAAATCATAGCTGTGTACATTAATGCAATTATGGGGTACAATGTGCTGCTTTTATATACAATTTGAAATACTTTCATCAAACTGGTTAACATAGCCTTTGCCTCATTTTCTTAGTTATTGTGTTAAGATATTTATGTTCTACACTTAGTAGATTTAACATGTAGCCTTGTAAAATGCACCACAGGGGTGGTCCCACTAATTACCCTCCCCCCACCCATCCTCTCCCCAAATTATTTTCTTTAAAAAGACAATAATTACACCCTGGAAATGATACCATATTGAGGAAGAAGATATAGAACTATTATAAAATGATATTTTTATTTGAAAGATAGTGTCATTTCTAAGAAAAGACCTTAAAAAGAAAACTACAAAGATAGTGGCTTTTGCCTTTAGAACTTACATAGGAAAGGGCTGCATACTCAATAATAATTTATTCCAAATTAAAATCAGGACAAGTATGTCATTAGTCTAGTCATACATATAAATGTCAATTATAAATAATGCCAAATTTGGTTAAGTAGTCTTATTTATCCAAACAGGTCAGTTTATTAATGTAGTTTTCTGATTTTGCATATTTTGCACGTAGATACTAGAAACTGTAGTGACATCAGTTTATAATGGTGGTTGCCATTTTATACACATAATTTGATTTCCTAGGATTGAAAAATTGACTGGTATTGTATGTATTAAAGGGTAATATGGAGCTCTAAGCAAGAACATGTTATTGTTTTTGGCCTCTGTGAAATAGTTCATTTTCAGAAAGGTTGGAGCACGGTTTCTAACGTCTTTTAATGTTTTCTATTTAAAAGGTAAATAAGATTTGTGGCCGTCCAGTAAGAACACCCACACAAGGCCCCCATTGTTCTTTTGATCAGAGCAAAGAGAAGCATGGAATCAAGGTCACTGGGAGGAGTGGTGAAGAGACTCTTG